CATTTTGGGGACGAGATCGAGTGGGGAGCTGGGAACATAACTTCACAAGATGGAATTCACTCCTCCCCGACTTTAGGGAAGTAGGTGAGTGTTCCTTAAATGCTGACTCCGGGACTTGAACAAGGGGTCCCACCCTCTCATTGGCCGAGAGGGACTTCCGGTTATTGGTTGGACCATAACCAGGTTGTTCATTAGAGGAGCAGTGATGTTTAAGGAGTAAGATGTAACTCAGGGGTAAAGTGGTAATTTGACCCAACTTGAGTTATGAACACTCGTGAAGGATTGACTCATCATTAATGGTCGCATATCCATGGATACGAAAACATTCTGTAGTGAGAAGAGTGCAACTGCGGGTCTTTAGTGGAATGACCCGTAGTTAACGAATCTAGATTAACTCGGTCAATGAGTTTGACTGTTTAATCTTGCATCGTTGGAGCTTCGGATCTGTAGGTCCATTAGGTCCCCTTGCTAGCTCATAACGGGTAAAACGAGGATCAAATTTTTGGAAGAATTTGAATGGTTCAAATTACTTAAGAGATTATATGTATATTGATACATTATAATATATATAGTTAATTGTAAATTAAAACTATATATTATGAGAGATATTATTTGAATGAGATTCAAATAAAATTAATATGAATGAGATTCATATTAAAACTATAGGTTAAAAATAATGTGCATAAGATGTATATTAAAACTATAGGTTATACGAGAGAAATGTTTTAGAATATGATTCTAATTTTATAATAAATAATTAAGTGTTAATTATTTATGTTTATATATATTTATTAATTATTAATTGGATTAATAATTAATTATATTAATTAATTTGATTAATTAATTATATATATATATTTTTTAGTTATTATTATATATATATATTATATATATATATATTAATATTAACTCCCCTGTAAAATTGTTGGAGAGTGGGAGGTGTTGTGACGTGGGGAGTTATCCCACGTCACCCTTCTTCTTCTCCAAGTGTTGGAGAAGGAGAAGAACAGGTTTTACATAATAGAAGCAAAAAAACTCCCAGGATTTCTCTCAAATTCTCTCAATCTCTCCCTCTCTTCGATCAAGGTGCTACCACAAGCACGATCCCGAGACCTAAGAGGATAGCGAGGAAGATCCGGTGGTGGTGTTCGAGGGGAATTCACTGAAGAAACGTTCTTCAAAGGTTTGTTTTTCCCCTGTATTTTTCTTCTTTAAAATTCGATTTTGTATCCCGAAAATCAGCAATGAAAATCCGTTTCCGCTCCGGGATTCACATCCCTTCACATAATATATTAATAAAGTAACAATTTAACGATATGTCAAGTTTTTGGTAATCAAATTTTCTATTTTTACGAAGAGGCTAATAGAATACTTTTTCTCGAACCCGATTATTCCAAGTCCAACAACCTAAAATGACAAATGTGAGTTGACTAGCACGACTTGACCACCCCGAGACAATCGTCTCAAGTTGGACCATCGTAAGCTCAACCACTCTAAGTCAACTAGCTCCATATGATCAGTCTAAAATTGACCACTCAAGGTCAACCCGAATCAACAGACTCAAACTTAACCACCTTAAGCCAAATAGAACAGGTCAACCAACCTACACTAACCTAAGTCAACCAACTAGTCGACCACCCTAGGCTAACCAACCTGAGCCGACCAACTCGAGCTCGACTAGTCTAGGCCTATCCAACCAAACCTAAACCATGCTGATCGGACCCCCCACGATGACCAGCACGAGCCGACCACCTTGACCACCCAAGGATGACCATTGAGCTGACCACCCGAGTCAACCACCTCATGCGGACCAATACAAGCCAACAACTCGAAACGAGCACCTTAGGCCAACTAAGCATGGTCGACCACACCCCAAACCTGACCACCCCAAGACAAACATTTCTTGCTCGAAGGCCCAAGCTAACACCCCAACTCGACCACCCTAGGGCCTAAAAGCCTAGGTCAACCAGCCTCAATCAATAAGCCATACTCAACCACCTGAAGCCAACCATCTTGGGCCCAACCAACCAACCTGGCCGCCTGCTCCAGCTTTCTCTCTCTTTGTTAAAATGTCGTACTGTGAGAAAAAATAATTGGGTCCATGATTTCCGTTGTTGCCCCTTGGCTGCCGATCGTCCAAGCTCGTGGGTAGTCGTTGCTGGCCGACCATGAAAAGAGAGAGGGGGAGGAGAGTCGTCTAAGTTGAGTCGTGAATAGAGAGAGAGGGGGGGAGGGGGTCTCTTTGAATCATAAACAGGGTAACAAGCGGCGCTTAATTAGGATAAGAAGAGGAAAGTGAAACCCTAATCGGTTAAAACCGAACCGAATTGAAAACTTTCGGTTCGGTTTGAGTTTGGTTTGGTTCATATTTTTTATTAAACTAATTCAATCCAGATCGACTAGGGTCGGATCAATTTTTCGAGTCGGTCCAATTTCTTTGCCACTAGTCACTTTTATGAAAATTGCAAAGGAATAAGGTATGATGGTGGAGATTGGAGAGTGAAGAAAGAGACAAAACAACTGAAAAAATTAATGAAGAATAGATATTTATAATTAATAAATTATTTGTAATTTATAAAGGAAAATGTACTTATTTGAATTTATTATTAAATATAACGTCTTTTTTAAGTAATTTGATAGTTTTAAAATCACTTTGAAAACGACACATTAATAATGCAAAATTACTTTTACACATGAAAACCAATTTTAAAGGGTAAAAGCACACATTAAAATGATTATCTAAAAATTAATTTTACAAAATCAACTGTAATTATTTTTTTTTAAATGATTTATTTCCCGATCACTCTCAAACATGTCTTTAATAGATCATATGGCACCATTGGGTTGATCTCAAATATCAATAAAAGGTGAACAATCCTTTGAGAAATTCTTTCAAAATATAGATATCAATCCCACCTATAAATGTTTATCAATTATTTTACAATTTAATTGTTATTATTTTTATTCTAAAAATTTATGCATTTTGAAATTAAATTATTACGGATTTTTTAATTTATCAATTTAATACAATTATTCATTAATTTTATCTCCACCTACCATTACGAGACAATCATATATCTACTTCTGAGTTTTTATTTTTATTAAAATGACATATTTAGCTTAGAGGTAATTGACGACACATATTCTCTAACCAACAGGTTGTAAATTCAAACCTCCAATCCATGTGTTGTACTAAAAAAAGATATATTTTATTAAAAATTAACAAAAAAAAATCTTTAATCAGTATAAAAATATATTTTATTTAAAATAGACAAAAATAATTTAACACTAATTTAAAATATTATCAACAACTAATTAATAATATATTTAATTTAATTTGTAAAGTATATTTCTTTCGAGTTATAAATTTATTATAACTCATTCAAACTTATATAATAACTTAAAAATAGACTAAAAGTAAATATTATAAAAAGAAGCCCTAATATAATATTATTTATTTTTTTATAATAATAATAATAATATTGCATTATATTTATAATGAGTTAAATACACAAATAAATAAATATGGATGAAATAAGTAAGATTAATAAGTTTATAAGCTAAAACTTAGACCAAAAATTGAATAAAATTTTTATTAAGTAAAATAAATGGTTGAAAATTTAACTTTAAATAAATAAAAATTTAAACATGCTATTTAAGTTCCATTCATTTTCCTCGTTCAACTAAATTGAGATGATTGAAGTTTTTCTATTTGGAATCGTATTAGGTGATAAATATACGGAATTTAAAAAGTTGAATAGGAATTTTTTTTTTCATTTTTAAAGTTTAATTATAATTACTCATAGAACTTTAATTTAGTTAAATTTCAAAAGTTGTTATATTCATTTCAATCAATTTATAGACACTTAATTTTCTTCTACTATTGTAAAATATATATATATATATATATATATATCTTCTTCTTTTTTAATATTTAGGACATAGAAATCTTTTATTGATGTAAATAAACTATGAAATAAAAAATATTACGTGCAATGTACAATAGACTAGTATATATAAGTGAAAATATTTGAGAACTTTGATTAACCTCCCATTAAAAAAATTCCCCAAAAAATGCTTTTGGTAAAAAAAAAAAAAAACTATTTGCTCTCTAAAAAAATCTTCTCATGAACTTATTACATTCAACTAATTAATGCATATATCTTGAATAACCTAAAGATCTGAGATTTAAATCCCCACTTTCACGTATTGAAATTCTGTTTTTCTTAGTTATAAAAAATGTCTACCAAACCCCTCTGTAGAGCTGGCATACAAAAACCTTCTTTCTATATCAATTTGAGTGATTTGTTTGCAAATTACTATTATTGTTTGTTAGTATTGTGGAAAAAACCTTTATGTAAAATTCACCATAAATTTTCTGAAAGAAAGAGAGTGGAAAGTGATAAGATGTGGACCACATCTCGAATCAAATAAAGACTCTGGTTTCAGCAGGTCACTGCTACATCCATTTCATTAGGAATTAATGATCTTTTAACATCGGTTAGTTCAAGATGCTGAACAACAAATTTTGATTTTAGAAAAACACCATCGTTATAGAAACTTACATGCAGGACTTTTTTTTTTTTTTAACAGAACAACAAAACAAATTAAACACAATCAACAGCCAACAAAGCAGACAGCCACGTAGGGCAAAACATGTTCCACGAAGACGCACGCTCTCCTTGCTATCCCATGAGCGACTCCATTAGCCTTCATCGGCAGATGCTTGAATCCTTCAATTGGCAAGGATTCCATCTCTTTCCATATGTCTTCAACAATTAGAGAAACTTCGGTGAGCACCATGGACGATTTATTGATGATGTTCACTACTTCCAGACAATCTGATTCCATCTCAATTTTGATTCCAGCTTCTAGGGTAAGGGATTGACTCAATGCTTTGAGACCTTCCAAGATTGCTAGGGCTTCCAAAGCTTTAATGGGTCATTTCCTTTGTAGGTGGAAACACTCTGCCATGATGAAGCGCCCTTCGGAGTCACGAACAATCCACCCGAGACCGCCGGCATGCAACGAATCCATCCAAGTAGCATCAACATTTAGTTTCCACAGGTGCTGCGCCGGGGGGGTCCAGCCGACGGTCCTAGGGAGATTTTTATCCTCCATGTTCAGGTTCCCTCCAAGATTTGTGGTGAACTCATAAATTTTACTTTCGGTAAAAGCCCTAATCTTCTGAGAGCAAGGTTGCTCAATTGTACTGTGAACAATTTGGTTTCTGTATGTCCAAATACTCCATAGAAGAACTAGCCCTGATTGTCTTTTGTACTGGTCCGAGTCTCGCCAAATCCAGTCGAAGTAGTCCATTGCCGTCCATTCTGACCTGTCAACATTAAACGAGCCAACATTAAAATTTAGAAAAATAACCCAAAGATTCCGAACAAACCTGCACTTCCAAAATAGATGGATAGTTGTCTCTTCTTTCTTACGACAAAGAGGACACCCTTTTTTTGTTGAGACTCCTTTAGAGCTAAGATTAGCAAAGGTTGGGATAATATCTTGTATAATCTTCCAGCAGCAAAGCAAAATCTTGGGGGGACTTGAACTTTCCAGAACCTCTTCCACCACATACTTATCAAGTCGGTATGTGATGAGGAAGCTGAATCAAATTCATAAGCGTTGATCCCCAATTTAGAGTTTCGTTTAAAAAAAATCATATTTTAAAAATTTTATTTCAAATTCACTCCATTTTACTCCCAATTAAATTTGTTTTTACTAATCGTGTAGTCTTTTTTTTAGTACAACAGGTGAGGTGGGGATCGAACTCTCAACCATTGGAGATATATGTTAATTACCGCTGAACTACTTTTTAGGATAGAATAACTTTTATATAATCTAAACCAATTGAATTAATATATTTATTTCCTTAGTTTTTTTGGCAAGTTTTTCCCTTCTTCCAAAACATATTATTGGAAAGCTTCAAAATTTCTTTTGTGAATCTTCCTCAGTGGACTATTTTTCAAAAAAATTATGGGTTACTGAGGTAATTTAGTCATATATATATGATTTCTTGCTCAAATTTTAAGTTTGGTTCTTGGTGAGTTGGGACGAGATGTGTCGTCCTAAGAAGATAGGTGGTTTAAATTTTCGGGATTTGGAAGGATTCAACCAAATCCTTTTAGCCAAGCAAGTATGGATATTTTTATGTTCTCCTAATCTTCTTGTTTCAAAGGTTCCGAAGGGACCATACTTTCTTAATTAATTCTGATATCTTGAGTGTGGATTTGAATAAGAAACCTCATATTTGTGGAAAAGTCTTTTGTGGGGGCGTGAGTTGCTCAATAAACATCCGAGGAAAAGGGCTGGAGATGGCAGCACAATTAATGTGTTCAAGGACTGATTGATCTATTCATTAGAGTATTAGGGAGTGGGATCTAGTAAAGGTAAGCGTTCGTTCGGTAATGTTATCGTTTCTTTCTTCATTTTTCTTGAGAAATCTATGTATTTTGCAAGTAATTATGTTTTTTGTTTCTCCCTTTCTGTGACATTCTAAAACAATTATATAGAAATTTTGGAAAGAACCAAAACAAGTTTCTTCTTTCTTGTTCCAAAACATTAAAAAAACAAAAAAAGTTTGTTTCATCGTACTTAATCCATGGATATGCATATTGTAATTCATTTTTCTTTATTAAAAAATGAAGAAACAGAAACAAAAAATATGAACGTTACCAAACGAGTCTTAAATAACTTTGATATGTCCGAAACACGGGGAAGCGAATTATAAGATTCGTATAAGTCCTTCGAATAGGTTGGATTCATGGCTTTGRCACTGCGACGAAAAGGGCAAATATAGCGTAAAGAGTAGATATAAACTGTTCATGAATATGAATCTATCTCTTCCAAGCAAAATCAAACATTTTATTTTGGCGCATGATTCACAATTTTATTCCTACTAGATGTAATCTTGGCAAAAGAGGTATTGATTTGGCACACACAAAAAACATGAGACTGTCAGCATGCATGCTTTTTAAAATGTTGTTTTTATGAAGACCAAACCTCTAAAATGGCATTTATGTAAAAATCCAAACAAATAAGAGAAATACATGGAAGTTGAGTTGAGAAGATGAAGTAAATCAAAAGCATGGTACCAAAAGACTCTTTTTTCTCTCTTTTTCATTTTTCTTTCTTATTTTTTTGAAAGAAAAAGGACATCTCTTCTTAAATATATGTTTGGTCAAGTCAAACATGTAGCACTAAATTAATTATTAGAACATGGAAGAAATTAAATGGTATAGTACCATGACATGTGAGAGGCAGAGAAAGTAAGTAAATTATTTTTTAAAAAACAAAAAAGAGCAAGTAAAAATAAGAATACGTACTGTAAATAGGTGTTTACTCCCCATCTATATATCCGAGAATAAGGCATCTATTTATACTTTTTTAGTACAGATGATCGAACTCACAACATCTTGGTTGGAGATATATGTCAATTACTGCTAAACTAGGTTCGATTTGGCAAATATCTATTTATACTAGTCCATAATTCAATCCTCGGTCTTAAATTGTGTGATTGAAAGAAACGTGATATTTATAATTATTGCATTCATCCAATCAATATGTAAATATTACTATGGCTATAGATACCCAATATCTCCGTAATTGGACATATCTTTGCAAAATCAAATGAAATATTATATATATAAATTAAATTTATCCAACTAATCAATTTAAGTTTTAGGTTGGGTCGTGGTTTATACATCCCTAAGATAATCCTTTTAGAAAGCTTAGATAGGGAGAAAAACATGCGTTTGTTTACCTTTTTTTCTTTCAATTTTTTTAGTTTTTATTCGGTGTTCAAATTAGGATAACAAAGTTAAATAGATGAGAACTTATTAACCATCTCATTCAATACAGAACATAAACCACATATTTAGGTAAATGTAAATCCTATACTAATTTTATTAACACACAACGTAAATATTAGATCACAACTTAAACTACAAAACATATCACAATATTATTTTCTTATCTGCTACCAAAATTTTCAGGTAGGTTTCTTTTAGTTTCCCACAAGTTTTCCCATTATAGAGTAGATGGAATGAAGGGTGGCTTATGGTAATTTTGAACTTCGACCAGTGGTTGTGACTTGAACAAGGCATCAAGTTGTACCACAAATCTGTCCATGGCTGGAGCAGGCAAGCAGAAAGGTACCACAGTCCCCTTTTCTCCTTTTCTGTTGGTGAAAGGCACATAAAAGCTTGTCAAACCAGGGACTGTTGCGACCCCTCCCACTGCAGGTCCTGCAAAGATGGCTTTTCCCCATCCAAAGTCCACCTCATCAAACCCAGCTCTCGTCACATCCGACACGGCGTACGACCTCACCGCTGTTAAATTAGGTCGTCTTTCGATCACCATAAGATCTGCCACTGACTTAATGTACTCCTCTGACATTTCGGCCTTAGCCTTCCTAATCAGTTCTACAGCATAACCTAGGGGATTCTGGCTAAGCTTTCCTGCGGTGGTAACTGCGGCAGGGAAAGCAAATGCGTTACCGTAATATCCCGATGGTAAATAGTTGGACTTGGAGCGTAAATTTACAATGCAAAGTAAGCGCATTTCGTCATCTGGGTGGGGCTGAAGCGCTATGGTACGGGTGCGCCATAAGCATGCTGTGATGAGATCAAAGGAGGAACAATGGTGAAGGTGGGCAGGTAAGGTTTTGCGAAGGGCAGAGATTTCAGTTTGGTCGAAGAAGACGGAGCGATGAGCCATTTCACTAAGGGGAATGATGTTTTCGGTGTTGGGAAGTTGGTCGTATTCACGGTGGATGCAAGTGACTCTAGGAGGATCCCGTGCGTTTAAAAGAGCCCTTTGCCAAACTGGTAAAACAGATGGAGTAGAGGCTCCCTGAGCTATTTCGGCCATGGCCGTCATGAATGAAAGAAGACCAAAAGCATCCGTCATTGTATGATTTATACGAAGAGCAAAGATGAAACCACCGCATTTTAATCGTGTTACCTACATGGTCAATAAAAATATTCAAATTGATGGTACTTTGTAGTTAACCGAATACGTTATCAAAACTAATCAACAAAAAAAAAACCTACAAACACAATATTGCAGCCATATGTAGAGTTAAATTACAATTATAAAATCTCCTATTTAATTTTTTCAAATATAGTAATAGAAAGCAAAGTATAAAATAAATGAATCTACTCTACCTGAATTAGCAACAAGGGACAATTAACAATCCCATCAGAGTTTGGAACGTTGTACAAAATATCATCCAAATATGTATATTGAGATTGAAGAGCATCACCGAACTCCTCCAAAGTCACGTCTGCATCGGCTTCAATAAACAAGACACCTTCGCCAGTACATTCAACAAACAACTTCCTCCCAGGTCCTTCCCTCAACCTACCTGCCAAAGGATAGTAAAACACCAACGTCTCGGCAAGTGTCTTCTTTATCACCTTCGCTGGGTCTTTCCCCTCCATGTTTGGATTGTGTTTATAAAAGTGTACTATTGGAACATGAAATCTAAAACTTTCTTGATCATCGATATCAGAAAGTTGCTTAAACTCATGGGGTGTAGCTTTTCGTGGACCAACTAATTCTGGTTGGCATCTTCTTACTTCAAAGATGAAATTATTGATGGATGATATTGCCATTGGAAAGAAATGAGTGAGTGAATGAGAATCGAGAGAAATAAACGATTGAGTGAAGGAGAATTGAGAGAGATGTTGAGATTTGTGAGTGATTGTGGGGGAGGGAAGGGGTGGTATTTATAGAGAGAGATGGGAAAAGCTATTCATCTTTTAAAAAAAAAAATAATTAAATTAAATTAAATGAAAGCTATCCATTTCTTCTGAACTTGAGGCTGTAAGTTGTTCTCAAAACATTGAAAAATCTTATCTCAAAAATATTTTTATGAAAACAAAATTTTCTACTTAACCATGTCATATTAAATAGACTAATTAAATATGGAAACACATGAACATTGTTTCTCGTCTTTAATTAATATTTTCAAATCCTCAATGTATTAAATTTTTTTTCTTTTTTATTTTTTCTTTATAACTCAAAATTGATACTTCTTTAATCTTTTACTCCTACTAGTTAGATTCACGTGCAATACACGTGGTTTTGAATTTTTGAGACATAATATTTTTGTGGTGAAACTTTACCTTTCGAATGTGTATATATATAAAAACTAAGAATTCATAAAAAAAAGTGATAAAAATGATTACATAATAATTAGACTTTTATTACATAGTAAACAAATAAAAGTAAGGAAATAACACAGTTATTTTAGATTAAGTAATTATTTAATATAATTATGGATTTTTTTTACGATTGAAAGGTGTGATTTTTTTTCTAACACAAAAATATATACAGGTCAAAATTTGTAATTAATTAAGAGTGAAACATATATAGACAACTCAAAAATATGTTGATATTATATAAAATCTTTAGTTTAAAAAAATGCTATTTTTTATGAATTTGTTCTTATTTTTATAAAACATATATTAAGTTATATTTTAAAATTGTAATGGATATTTCACTTATAATATTATATCAATAAAGTATGACACGAAGCAAATGTTTTCTCTCCATAAATTCTAAAAACTAAATTTTAAAATTTTGTCAATTTTTTAGTTTATGAAAAAAATTTGTCTATTATTTTTATTTTTATTTTCTATGAATTTGCTTCTTATTATTGTTTCCTATACTACTTCAAAAGTTTTAACGATATATTATTGATAATATATTCAATCCAGGAAAGTAAGACATTAAACAAATTTGAAAAAAAAATTAATAATACCATAAAATTGTATCATTACAAATTTTAGAAAATAAGTTAAAGTATTCAAATGATTTAGGACTTACATTTTATGTGATCTGATCAGGTCCTTGTTGAATCTCCTTCGTGAAATTAGTTGGATCTTCGATTTTTGTTGATTTTCGTTCGAGAAGATGATAGGATACCATGTTTTTGGTGATATTCGCCCTTTTTAATAAACGAAAAGATATTTCAGAAGGAATATGATCTAAAAACTTATTTCATAACTTTTGAATATGAAAATAAAAAAACTTATCTTGTAGACCAATGCGAACCAAAGGAAATTGAACCGAAGCATCCTTAACCATTTAAAATAGGACATTAGAGGCTCAAGTCCATAAAATAAACCTCCAATCACAGATATATGACATCGTCTTCATTGTCGTTGATGGAGGTCTCCAATTTTCACAACTCAGTACTTTCATTTTCTTTTATCATTATCAATCACTTGGCACCACCTATTTTTGTCCAGCCACACAATTCTCAGTTAAGTTTTACAGTGTCTCGAACATGAGTTTTGGACAAAATAAAAAAATACATCGGTTTCTTTTCTTTTATAGGTGGTTTGCAATCACACATATACGTGGATGGATGCATCGTCACTTTATCGAATAATCATATCTCTTTTAGATTAATTTATCTCAATAGACATCTTCGAATCGTCGTGTCTCGTAAGAGTTTCAAGGGTAAGATTGGTATATATTAAAAAGTGGGGGGCAAAAATGCAGGGTAAAGATTCTCCCACATAGTCCTATTTATATTTAGTATAGATAAGTGGGTACTTGCACTCATTCCAAGCCATATATGAGATAAGCTTTTTTTTTATTAAGCTCACTCAAAAGTTTGAACTAGAAATAATCAACTATAGTAAAAAAATCGACCTGATCAACTAAAATTGACCGAACTGACATCGCTCGATCGATATATTTAAGGGATGAATTAGTTAACATTGGTGTAAAAATTTGACAATGATGTGAGCGTCTCAATGCCGCTGAAGCAGGGAGGAATACGCTGCAAAAGTTGAAGCGTTGAGACGTCGAGGACAGTATCTCAACACTGTCGTGAGGGGCACTCGCGTGTTGAGTTCGCGTTCGTAGCGTTGAGATGCTATAGCATCTCAATGTTGCAACACATTTGATTAGAAAACCATCGTTTTGGTTTAGGCTTTTTGCAGTGGTACTGGAGTGTTATTGTTTAGCCGATTTTCAAAGGGATTTTGTGGCAATTTAGTGGCAATGGCTGGAGCTGTACTGGCAGCACAGAAAAAGGGTAGATCGAGATCATTGTTTGGAGTGGTTGTATCTTGATTCTTTATGAGTTCTTTTATTCATGTACCTATACATACACACTAGGCGGCTTTTATTAAGACCTATAAAGGATAAATATCTAGTTGAGATATTGAGAGAGTGCTTGTATCCAATTCTGATTGTAGTAGGACTCGCATCAGAAGACTAGACGTAGCCCATTGACAATTGTTATGTCTATCTATTACTTTTTCAATCTCTTGCCATGTTGTGTGATTGATTTGTTTATCGGAATATCTGTGGAAGGAAAAACTGTCACGAGCGCATTAATTTCCCATCATAGAGGTCATAGAAGGGAAGAAAAATGAAAAATGCATAGACAGAGAGTGAAGACGAAAGCGTTTCACGTGAATTCATAGATACCCCACTTTCTTCTTTATTTATTTGTTTTCTGTTTTCTATAATTTATCCTTCCCCCCTCAGCTGGCTCTCTATTAGCCACTCTTTTTTTCCTTTCTCTTTTCAATATCCTATTTTTTCAACTCTCTCCCTTCTTTTTTTCCTCCTTTGTTTCCTCCTCTCCAAATTTTCAATCTTGATTTTAATCGACCGGTCGATGATCACCGTTAATTTGAACAAAAGGCTTCATGGTAGGTTTCATATTCTTGTCAATTTAGACACATTGTAACAAGACCTCATGATATTTAAAATTCTCAATTGGGTCATGTCTGTTGGAGTTACAAGGTAGGCAAACAAAGTGGAAGAGTATTTATGCAATATATGCATTGGTACCAAATTTTTTGGATGAAACCAAAAACAGAATAATGCTCAAAGCGGAAAATATCATATCGTTGTAAATATCGAGGGTAGGACATGCCACTTATTCCGTTTAAAATAAATTTGTTTCTTCACCTGCCACCTGCCCTTAATTTTCCACAATTATGTGACTCACCACTCGAGGTTTACGAGATGCTCACGTTAAGAAAAACTTCTACCTCGTGGAAGGTGTTGTCAAATTCTATTCAACAAATCATGTTAAAAAAAATATGATTCGATTTTGCTATCATTTTTAATACAATAAATATGAAAAAGGGACATGAAATCTGTAACCTGGATACATAATCGAGCTTATATGTTTGGTGCCTTACATATGCCTGCCGACAACAATAAATGTGGCGTTGAATTAATGGCCATGCATGACTCATCTGAAGGCGTCAAATCAACTTCAACACCCACATAAATGAGAATTGTGGTGGGTGGATTTATTTAAATCTCCCACGTCAAAATTTGGATGGATCTCTATACGTGAACCCAACCGAATTTTTAGGTATATTCCATCAAATTATATTTAAATTTTTACCATCCCATAACTTATCTTCTTAAAATTTCAATTTTCAAATTTTAAATAGAAATTATACTCTTTATTGTAGTGTTGTGGAGCGACTTGAACAAGTGTGAGCAAGCCAAAATAAGTGTTGTATAGCTACCTGAACAGGAGTGAGCGAGTTGTCGTCGAGAGAGTTGGACACCAAAGACCTAGAACACTTCGACGTTCAAGTTAGTTTTAGGTACGAACTGGACAGATTAGATTGAGACAGATTTTCATAGTTGATTGAGTAGGGTGAGGGTGTATTTATAGAGGTGGATCAGATAGTTACCCGTCTACTATTCTGCGAGCAGTTGATCTGTTGTTCACTGTAAGCCGTACTTGTGGTCAAATTCCCATATCAGCTCGGCTTTAAGGTTTCAGCAGGAGTACAAGACTTTTTTCCCAATTTGCGTGCTCGGTATCCGCTATTTTCTTGTAAGGGAGCTCGAATCGAGCAGCTAGCCTCCCAACAATATTATAACTAGCAAGAGAAATAAAAACTAACATTTTCCAAGCTTAGATAGGATTATCAGGATTTTCTTTTTTACTTATTCATATTCTATGTTTTTATTTTTTTAATTTTTCAATCCTATATTTGATTTGGATTTTTTATTTAATTTTTTTTCAGTTTATTTTTTGAATGTTGGATTTGCCTATTCTTTAAGTGTGATCTTGTTTTATCAACTTGATTTTTTTTTAATTTAAGATATGTTCTTTTAGTTTTTTTTTAATTTATTATTTAACACGTAAATGGTAACTTTTTGTTATTTTGGTTTGCTGCCCTAATTTTATTTATTTCATTTTCACTATATTCACGCATATTTATTCTTTATATAACTTATTTTACTATTATTATTTACTACTTCTGAGTTTCGATTTACTATAGATTTTTTACCATATACAACTTAATTAATTATCCCCGTTAATCGTATTTTCTTTAATATTTTATCATACATTCTATTTTTATGTCTACCTTATTCACTAGTATATTTTTTTTAGTATAAGATATGGGATGAGGGATCGAACTCACAACCTCCTCTTAATTGGAGATATATGTCAATTATTGTTATTCTTTTAATTTTAAATTTGTAACCTTCGTCTCATTCATTTATGTTGGGTTTGCTTCTATTTGTTGCTAAATCAAGTATTGGTATAACTATTTTATATTAGAGGTAAATTTGTTCAAAATCAAAGTTGGACTCTATAAAAGAAAAATCAGTTGGTCAACAATATCTAAAACTTTTGTCTCGTGCATAGATTTTGCCAAGGGCATAGATTTCAGCTTCATCGA